TAAGAACCACGCTCAAGTCAGTTGACTCTTAAAATGTCCGTGGATCGAACGTTTAAAGAGAGAGATTGGAGAGAACAAGAAAGAGAGAATTTTATAAATTCTTTAGCGATTGTACTCTTACACCGTGTCATTGTGTCGTATACCTTGAATTTTATTCGTAAAACGCACGTTTGCGGTTTTTCAATAGTCGGGAAATCACGCTGACACAATTCTACAAACCGACATGAAAGTGAGCAAATCAAAATTTTCTTTTGCTTCTTTTTACCAACGCTTTTTGAAATATACTGTTGGCATAGGGAATGTGTGTCAATATAACCTCATAGAAAATATGTCACGTCTATTTCGAGAAAATATGTAACGAATATTTTTGATATTTTTACTTTTTGACCTAATTAAATAATTGGATCTATGCAAATGTAACTAATTAAAAATTAATCTCACATAAGCCAGGAGACACTAATATATTCTAGATTTCTTTCTTAAATTTATCTGAAATATTTTTTTACATTATTCTTAATTCATAAAAAAATGTGGAATTGTGAAAATATGCGAAATTAGCAAACGATCCACTGAGAGAAGTTATCATCACCATACTGTGTTTTCTTTTCTTATTTCCAGCAATCAATTTTATTCGTTTATATACGTTTATATACGTTTATTTCGAGAACTTTTGAAAAATATATAACTTTTGAAAAATATTTTTCACATTTTTACCTTTTGACCTAATTAAATATTGGATCTATACAAATGTAGTTAATTAAAAATTAATCTCTCATAAGCTAGTAAACATTAACATAATAATACTAAACTTTTTTCTTCGATTTAGCGGATATTCCTGAAATATTTTCTTACATTATTCTTAATTCATAAAAAAATGTGCATTTGTGAAAATACGCGAAATTAGCAAACGATCCATTGAGAGAAGTTACCATCACCATACTGTTTTCTTCTCTTATTTCTACCAATCAATTTCATTCGTTTCACGCCCGGTCGTTTCTACCCGGCCGAGTCAATTTAATTCTGATTAATTACGTTTTAATTAATACAAACGCATTTTCCGAACAATCTTAGGCTGCGTCTGGACCAAGGGGTGAATGTACATCGTTTTTTTTCTGCTTAGTTCTTCGCTTTTATCTCCAATGAAATCGAGGCACAATTGTCTCGGAAATCCGAGTGAGAAAGGAAAGTGACTCTTCAATCCGGGGTCGGGTTTTTCCTGGTATAGCAGATTAATAGAAAATAATGACCGGCAACGTAGAACCGCGGTCGAGGAATCTCGTTATTGTGACTATGTCGAAAGACCATCGTTCATATTTATTTATGAACGAAACTATTCTATATGATTGTACCAGTACAATCATATAGAATTCTATCCGATAATTGTCTGAACGCGATGACTACGATCCTTTCATATTGTCTTTTTTGCTATCATCGTAAGACACAAATAGCTATACATGTATTAAAGTTAAATTGAAACAAAAATTTAATATTAATACAATCTAGACGAAAATTTTTCTGGAAGAGGGGTCGACGGTTTGATACGGAATATTATGCACTTGGAAGCAAAAGAAATAAGCAAAAATTTCTAAAAAGAAGAAGGGTATAAATCCCGACTGGAAATCTGCTAATAAATTGCTACACGATAAAGCGCGCAGACGACATTGCTTTAAAATTGCAGTTTTTTTTGCAAGAAATAATAAAATCACAATTTCAATCGCAAAACTTTACAAATCTCGTAAATTGATATTGACAATTACATCGCTACTCTATCGAATTAGTTATGTGACTAGCGAAGTAGATATTATTTCTTCGTACATCTTTTTGCGCTCGTGCTTATATTATCGCGAATTTCTCCTGCATCTCATAATCATATACCTTTTATATGTAATGTGTGTGTGTGTGTGTGTGTGTATACGTATTAAACGCGCAATACTCGCTTCTTCATATCCGCGCGATTGCGGGCGCGCTCTTTCCAGACTCGTTTCCCATTTCTCGCATTAGCGAATTTCTCCGCACGACTCGCAGATAAAATCACGTTATAACGATATTCAAAAGTCGAGAGCTCTCCGTGCCGCGGCAATAATTGTTCATAGCGGATGTCCGTGCTCCGTCTCTCGAAAGCGCGCGGACGATTTTCTCTATCTCGAAGGCGGCACGGTCGGTTATCAGAAGAAAACGCGTGCGGCAACTGCTCAACCTCGAGATTTCCCGGGAAAGACGGAGAAACGCGGAAAAACATTCTCACAAAGAAACTCATCGTTTTGCAGCTGCAGGTAACGTCGGCGGTCCGCGTTGCGGTGTGCCACCCTCAAGATAATGTTAATATCCAGCTCGAGGTTTTGTAATTGGCAATTATTTTAGCTTACTCCGCTCTTTGTTCTCCGACGTTATCCCGGCGACGGTGCTCACCCCGCTTCCCCGAAGAATCCTCGAATGTGCCTTGCGCACCACACAGCTGCGCCCTTTACGCAATCATTTCGGAGCTAAGCCGCCACCGACTCATATCACCAGCGGCCTGGAAAGGCTTCTCTTAACGCGAGAACGGATGTCCCGTTTTCCGTTGAATTTCTTATTATCGTTGGACGGCGGAGAAAATTCGGGATCAGGATTTTCCGAATATACCTAGGAGCCACCAACCTTTCCGCGAGACTTACGGTAACGGGACAAATATTTTCCAACGTTATTCCGGGCGAATCTTTCGCGTCGCGTCGATGTAAACGCAATGTTTGTTCGCGTTTGCTCGCAATGCGCGTCCACCCACAAGGAAGACTGATAGTCAAAAGCGCGGCATCAGGATCGGGGCGCGTTTTAGCGGTAAACGCGAGGCGTGGCTTCCGGACTTTCGCGTTACGGCGCGCTATCGAGGACAGGCATAAATCCTGAACGTCGACCGGCCGCGAACGAGCGCCGCTCAAGCGCACCCTGTACACCCTGAATCTCTCTCTCTCTCTCTCTCTCTCTCTCTCTCTCTCTCTCTCTCTCTCTCTCTCTCTCTCTCTCTCTCTCTCTCTCTCTCTCTGCAATGTACACGCACACAAAAGCGAAAGGTTATTAACGAGCCCAGATTAAACTCGATAACACGCCGCGACGGTATCTTTCGGTTCATGGCGATGCACGAGGCGCCCTTTGCCGGCGCCACGCGCACCACTAGCTCTCCCTCGTTATCCATTTTCGCCGTTAACGTTTAATGCATTTCCCATGCGGGGACGCGCACCCGCCGTGCCACTCGCAAGCCTCGCCTCCACAAATTTTACAAAACACCGATATAAATCGTTTGATAACGCGCGTTGGCTCCGAGCGTCGATATATACAATGCGGGAGTCGACGGTGGCAAGGGGTGAGAAAGGGTGCGGGGAAAAGGGAAGGGAAAGGGAAGAGGAGGGGGACGGTGGGCTCGCGCTGGAAATTTGGCGATACGCCAGGCGCATCGACGACGCTGCAAAGTGCGCACGCCAGCCGGTGCATCGCGTCGTTCGGCCGGCCGAACGTGTCGGATGACGTAACCGATATCGCTAATTGCAAAAACTACCACCGCGGAACATCGCTCGCGGTATCTCGCACCGGACTTTTTAACCCGTGCGCGTCGCCCGGTTTTGAATTCGATACTATCGCGAGTAATTTAGACGTTTCTTTTAACGCGAAACCACAACGCCAGCAATGTTGCTATCACTCGTCGATGCGCGCGGAATTTCGCCAAAACTTTTCTAATATCCATCCACACCCACGCACACATACGTATATGTATATACACACACACGTGCATATATATATATATTTAGAGACGTATTTTTAACTGCCATTGCCGTGTACCGAACGATATACACGATCGTGAATATTCCGACGTCACTTTCAATTAATATGGATATACAAAAAAAGAGTCCGCGGATATGTATAAAAAGATATTAAAAAAATTTCAGCTCGCGGGAAAATTCATGCGCGCAGTGCGATAGAAATATATCAAAGTATCAAAGCATCGAATTTATTCAAACGAATAATATAATACGCTTTCTAAGGCAATATTAAATAAAACGGGGCCGCATGACTAAAGTGTTGAAATAAATTTATATGTATGTACTCTCGTTATAAACGTCGACGAAGAATTTCAATCTCCGCTAGCAGAAATTCGCGGTGGGACTTCGTCAAGAAACGTTTCCAAGGCCTGTGCAACGACGCGGACACTTACGGCAATTAAGCATCTCTCCTCTACAGGATCCGCAAACTCTTCGAGAAAAAACTAAATAAATAGAGGAGTTCGCCTTGCAGGCCGCGAAGGACGAGGTCGATGTGGATACGCGGCGGTTGGTAGTGCCAGGGAGCTTGTGCAAACACAAAAGCTCACGGCTGAAGATAAACAGTGAGACTGTAAGCTGCAACATACCTTCGGGCATTGCGCGGTAGATAGGTAGGAAGGATAGAGGTAGGAAGAGCCAGAAGGAGAGAAATACACGGACATTGTGCAAGGTTGTGAGCCTCTTTCAAGGAGACGGGAAAACTAAGACGGGCAGAGAGAAAACTCTGGCGAAAAAGAGCCACCTATAACGTTGACACCTAACAGCCGAAGGTCTCTGTAAACTTACGACATTAAACCGTTTGTGAAATAAACTCTCGTTTTAATAGCGTAAATATAAATGACGCGTAATCCACTTTGTCTCTCTGTTGCGGTGTCTCGCGCGAGATTTTTCCGTAACGTGAGAATGTCTCCGACATATCGTGAATCTTTTCGAGTCGCATCCGTTCTGGATTGCGAATTTTGCTCGAATGGTTGTCAGATAAAAGCGTTGTTCGCAAAACATAGACGAGAAATATATTTACATTAAATTTTATATTTTAACACGCAATACATAAATATTGAAGTTATATGATGTATAATTATAATCGTGCATTTGATGGGTAATTGACAAGAATAAATCTCTAGATAAATTTTAATTTGTGTGTGTGTGTGTGTGTGTGTGTGTGTAAAAGCAATAATTAAAAATTATATCAAGGCTAAAATATCTTACCTGATGTGGTTTCCGTTGGATAGATCAGAAATCGTCCTGGAACAGATACAGATATTTTTACAATTATTTATTATTAATACATGAACTAATAACAAAAATAATAAATATAATTATGCTACTGGCTTGGAAATAATAATATAATTAAATTCATTTACCGATCTGACTTCCTGTTTTGATAATATATGACATGTAAAACAAGATAAAATGTACATGATATTATAATTGCAAATTATACACATATATTATTCTTAACGCTTCGTCACGTCTAGTATCGATATAGTTATTATTAGAGAAAATAAAATTTATCGTATATTTTCTGCATGCATTAATATAACTACAGTTTAAATCGAGCAATTTAAAGTAGCTTGGAGCAGAGATGGATAAGAGTATATTTTGGAACAGCTAATCTAGGTTCAGGTCTTAACTTGTAACTAGGTTAGTGGACGCGTGCTCATCGTCCGTGACAGAGGTTTGCACTTCAAAACTACGTGACGTGGCTTACGTTCTCGCTGCGTATTCTCGGAAAACTGACGCGTTGGTCATTACTTGCAGCAACGAGTACCCGATCGCAAGGGGAATAATTAATTCGAGCAACGTCATTAAAAGTACCGCGAAAGTTAAAACACGCTAAATGACACGTTTATCATGGTAAGCGTGTTAAAGCGACACTCTCGGCGTTGTAAACTCGTAGGAGGGATGCATGCAATTATACGGAATTAAATAAAACACATGATTTCATAAAGGAACGCTTATGAATCGTGTGAGCGTCTGATCTTTTTCGTTCAACGAACTGAAATAATTAATAAATAATCGATAATAATCGACAAATAATCGATAAATTGCACGGTATTTTAAATAAAAGAAAATGCGATAATATAATTTTTTTTGTAGTGCACAGATGATAGCGTCAATAATTATCCATCGAATTTATCACGAACGTATTCTCCTGTAGCCTGCGTGTGTCGAGTTCGTGCATATAATTTATTATCACTTCGCGTTACACTAAAAATGCCTTTACTGATTCATTCGCAGACGCATAAAAACCACGCCGCCATACATTACTCCGTGGAGACTCTCGTACTCCACTTTACGCACACACAATCAACTGCGCTATAAAGCGCACCTCAACCTACCAATATTTTTTCCACTACTTTTGCGTTTTACAACTTTGAGCATGAATATAAGAGGCAACGGAAACTTCGTCACTATATTCTTTCATCAACTTATCTCATCTAACATTTTACGATATTGTGTGTCTCTATGGTTAATTTTTCTGCACATGCATTACTTGTCACGGAGTTATTATTTTTAACCGAACGAAATTTGTATCACTACAGATTTCTACTGTCGCGTTTATATATATTCAGAAATTTAAGTATATTTTTTTCTTACTTTAATGCGATTTCACAGATAGAGCTTTTGTTATCATATATATGTAAAGTGGCGTATACAGATATAAATAAAATTCGTTTATAGTATTCAGGAAGGCTAAGAAATTCAAAGCTAACTGAAGTTGTGCCAAGTTCGAAACTTGCTTCTCGAAGCATAGAGGCAGTAAGATCTTACACAATGCGTTACAGACTATAGAGTTCCCTTATTAAAGATTAGCACGATTCTAGAAAAGCTCCTCGAGAGTGAATGAAAGACACGAACGGGGATATTGTTTTCTTGTCGCGTGCTTCAAACTAACTACGAAGGATAATAAAGATACAATAGAATAGAAACAAGATATCGCTAAAAAACGAACAAAGATTTTAAGAGCAGTAAAAAGAATTTTAATTAGGATCGAAAGTAAGAAGATTTATATATATATATATATATATATATATATATATATATATATACACACACATTTATAAGAAAAAGATGTGCGCGTGTATTATAGCATGCATTTGAATGTTCATGTTTATGCGAAACCAGGGCATTTTAACATATGAGAAACGTAATAAATATAACGGTTCGATTAACAAATATTTGTTATTTCGAACCACAAATATTTGTTCCATATAATTACATCAGTCTCCTGAGGAACACTTTTCATATTCTGATATATATAATACATAAATTGGATAAACCAACATACATATAATCGTTAGTATTTTATATTTTAAATCTCTTACTATATCGCTTGCTAACAAGATGTCAACTGCCCTTTTTTTCGCCTTCACTAAATATATGTTATAATCTTTTTTGAAAATCAATAGGACAACTAATAAAATTTATATTTTGCACAAAAATAGAAATAAAAATTAAATAATTTTATTTAGTGTTATAAAATATTCATGGTTACTGTAAAATTTTATAATTTTTATTATGTAAGTTTAATAAATATTATTTTATGGATTTAATTATTTTACAAACTATTTATACTATTTTAATGATTTTATATTTATCGCAACTCTTGTTTATGTAAAATGAAAATAAAAATATTTTTAACAATACATTTACATTTAGTAATATATACCTACGCAAATGTATTGTTAAAAATATTTGTATTTCCATTATGCACGCATTTTACAAAGAATAATTGATATTGATATTTATTCGGTAATAAGAACATCGATCGCGTGGCGCTTGTAATTATGAATATAAACGCTTCATTTATTTTTACCTATATGTCTTTTTCCGTTTATACAGTGCATACTGCAAATCATCCTGCTGGAACGATTAATTGGGTCAAAATCATTATCGGTCTCTCCATTGATATAATTAATGATCACGACTTTGAACAGTTAACTTCAATTATTAGGGATCTGCACCACATTCATTATTGCCTACCAACTGTACGTACATATATATCTAAACGTAATTTCGTGAATGTTAGAAGGTAATGCTAAAGACTGCCCTACTATTTAAGTTGTCAACTCTACAGAAACTATGTAATTTTAAAAATATAGCTTGTGTGCACAATATCATATATATGATATAAATAATAATTTTTATATTTGGCATATAAAAGAGAATTCATCGAGAGAAACTTGATAAAAATATCTATATCAATTGTTTAAATAAAATTCAATTTTATATAGAAACCGTATGCGATTTTGTCCGATAAATATAATAAATATTTAAAACTCCAGAATTTTATTGTATTGTACACATTATTAAATATTTTTCTCTCTTTCGTATGTGAATAGAAATAAATCAATACATAAATCTTCTACTACATTAAATTTGCAATTGTATGAAACACAATTTGTTTCTCGGAGAGATGGAGCACAGTACAGCGTACATGCTTCAAAATTTAATAAAGCTAGAATAGCACGGGAATAGTATAAAACGATCGGAATAAAATGATTTTCCACCAGCTAGCCTGGGAAATTCCATAGAATAGTAGTGAGATTACCAATACATGGAATACGTAACGTATCACGAGACACTCGCATTAAGAGATCAATATTTGATGTCACGGCAATCGATAATTGAACGTATTGTTTTCCGAAACGTGCTTTCAAACGTTCATGCTTATTTCGCGATTCGTCGGACTTGTGAGCGTTTTATTGTCAAGAGAAATGCGAAAAACTTAAGCTGGTGCACCTTTATTTCACGGATGTCAATGTATGGTGTTATATCCATTGCATCAATGAAAAGAATTCCTTTTAATTGGATGAAATTACATGATACGCTTGTACGCGTTTATCATTTTTGTTTTGGACTTTTTTATTCTACGTTTTACGTTGATACAATAAAAAAATAGCGCATTCTGTACATAAAATAAGCTTGTCCACGAATATTCCGATACGCAGTACCTCTTTACTGGGAATTGGACGAACGTGAATGCTAGGTTTCGTTCGAAGAGGGGTTGGGTCTCCAACAACTTGAACAACTTCACAATAGTCGTGGCCTTTGCACGGCCCGCTACGCGAAATAAACTTTACTCGCCTAACTTTAAAATTGATGATCGCGTTGTGTCGGCACATGTAAGTGTATTCACAAGACAAAAATACGATGGTTGTCAATGAGAGTTTATCGAGTGCAACTTTAGACGTACATTCAGCGCGATTTAGATCGGAGATAAGCAAGTCATCATTATCACGCTTATGAGAATTTCCATTCTATTTCGTATGGTTGACGTTATACACAGAGAATATAATTATGTAAATCGCGTGAGAAAGAGAGAGGAAATACATAATAGAAAAGACTTTCTTATGCAGTCGGGCTCTTGACAACATGAATTCGAGAACACTTTTCCGCAGAACGAAATCGGTTTACATGGCGATTGTAAGCTTCTGTCGATGACTAGCAGAGCAATCATAGAGAAAATTTCAGATCTGCTCGAGCTAGCAACGAATCATTGGACTATGATCTCCATATTTGGTTTGGTTTCATTGTTACGAAAAGGGCGTGACTCGCCGCGTTGCGCTTATTGTTAGGTGCAAAAACGCGTGAATTTCAATGTGGAATCGCACTGTTTGAATCAAAGGGACTGGAATTTGGAGCGGACAGCCATGCGAGCTGGTATGTAAATGTATCTACTCTTTCTGTTTGCTGTTACACAGATGACACGGAAAAATTGTAGAGATGATTCTACATACATACGCAAAAACGCATTTGATTTCACGTTTCGTTGTAACATACTTTAAATCGCAAAAATGTTGAACAAAAATTAAATATTATAGATAGATTCAGTTACTTTTAAGCAAAAAAGCTTGTTGTTTAACTTTTAATTTTGTCATGATTGCTAACAAATCAAATCATAATGTGTGTTAAAATTAAGTTTAAGAACTTGTAAATTATTATGGAATCTAATATCTATACAGAAATAGCTATATAAAATGCGTCACGATGAAAGTGATAATGTCAAACTTCTAATAAATTATTAAAAAGAAGGAAAATATGTAGTTCTTTAAAGATCTTGTTTTTTAAATATGATATCTCATTTATATTTGAATATTAATAATAAAATATAACATTGTTGTAAATCTACATTCCAGTGAATAAAACAAAGCTATACAATTCTTTAATTATAAAAGGAAATATATAACAGGAAAGTAATATGAAAAAATCTTACGCGCAATATTATATAACAAGGAAAA